ATTTTTTTTATGCCATAGCATATATCTGGCGGATAAGTCAAACTCTGTGACGAATATCCCCAGCAGCATTCGGGTTCCATTGAATGCACACCAGGACGTGCAGTGATACGAAATGAAATGGCATCATTTCAGGTTCAGCGAATGTTATAATTTATCATTATTTTTTCAGAGCTAGATTTTTCATCATTTCAATTTCGTTTCTGTTGAATGACTCAAGCTACAACTTTGAAAATACTTCTGGTATTTGGTTTTGACACATATGCCAATTCGTAAATTCCAATTTAAGTCAACAAACTTCGATCTGGCCAGATGTTCTATTGACACGCGACCCCCGCCCTCTCTTTGAATAGAAGTGTGTTTCTAGTTCTGATCATACTGACAAACAATTGAATTCAATCATTTAGGTAGTGGCTGAACTACATTTTCAGCATATTTTTGACAAAACGTGTGTAAAAAAAATCAACATTGCCTGAAATATTGTGTGCTTGAATATCCCCCCCCCCCCCCCCCAAGGGTTGGCGTGGCTGACGCATTGGGCTATGTTGGAATTTGTGCTTCAGTTAGTTTAGCATATTTTATTGGATGAAAACAATTTCTGTCTATTCTTGTGCCTGTTGTATGGTTGACTGGAATTTTCGGATGTATTCACATAGATCAAACAGCAAACGGCGAAAACCGTTCAATTTTCTGCTTTCCATTTGATCCTTCGTTGCTTCACCACGCCATGCTGAACTATCGTGCGTTTGTTTTTTTCTTCACATTTCCATGTGTGTGCGTGCAAGTCGAAGAGTCATTGAGTGCGTAGCACAGAAGATGACGGCAAATAAACCACTTATCTCAGTTAGGGACACGATAATAACACAAGCGCAAATCATTAGCTTGAAATAGAACTAAAATCATCCTCAACACAGCGCGTAATTTTCTTCTAAACTGACGCACAGATTACCCGATATTATTGTGTTCAATGTAAGAGAACAAACAAAAAATGGTGATTTGCAAACCGTCTTCATCTGGATTTTTTTCTTCATGGAATGGAGGTTGTTATATGATGACGACGAGGTTAGATTATTCTGTTGTGGAAGAGAGTGTATCAAAATGTGCAAAAAGAGAGAAATATTGGTTTTTTTATAAAGCCCGAGAAGTATTTTTTTTCCTTCTATTGTTTTGTTTCATTTCCTAGAAATGCTGCATAGGTTATAGAGTGGAGTATAATGCGTCAATGCCCCATAACGGCTAACGCGGCATTGATGTATTGCATTAGTGCAACAACTTCTAAAGGATATTAAGCTCACCAAATGTGTATTACACGTGCATTGGAACGATTTTTTCCCATATCATCTTCGGGAATGCCGAAGCAAATCCGTATTTATTCGTGTGTGATATTTGATTGGTTGTCGAGCGACCGATGAGTAACAGCGTGTGTATGTGCCGACCCGATGAGATCAACTCAATGATAATTACTAGTTGAATCACGAACAGAATACAACAACAAAAATAAGCTAAAACTATCCGTTTTTTTTTTCTTCTTTTTTTAAAAGAATTTATGTGGCATGCAAGTCGATAAAACAAAATACACCGAATCTATCTAATATAGATATATAGTTATACAGAAGATAAACTGGTTTATTCACTGTATCGTGCCGTTAAATGGGAAAAATAACCTGTTCAGATTCGACAAATTGCAATGGAACTCAACTTAATCATATTGCGTCAAACGGACACTACGGCCAAACGATGTGAATGAGATTTTGCCACGAAGTGTTAAATATGATGGGCCGCAAAAAAAAAATATTGAGTGCAAATTTAAAGGTGACCAGTGCGCAATATATTCAATTTTTTTCTTAGCGAATGGTAAACGGTTTAGAATCAGCTCTATAGACACCAGTTGTTGTACGATGTTTGTTCTCAATGAAATTCGAGTGGTTTTTTATTGCATTTCCAATGTGGTGAATGATTTGGTATGTTGAACATGAAACACAAGACGACTCCCACATTCAGTTCAATCGTGATGGCAGCAAAAACGAATTTTCAAGCATATCATTATCCCGGATGAAACGCAATTTTCCAAACACACACACACACACACACACACACACACACACACACACACATATCCAGAATAAATTACAGGATAATTTGACATGTAGTTGGAGACAACGGAATAGCTAAACATATTCGAATTACGATTTAAAATTCAAGGAGTATTTAATTTAAGTTGTACCAGTGAATGCTTCTCAACCGACAAATATGCTGTGTAACGTGCGTGCCTGCCGCAATCATCCCGTTAATGTGCTCTCACTCGTTCTTTATTCGCTTGCTCTCTTTCTGATCGGTCGATACATCGACATTTTTTGTTATTTGTTTTTGGAATGGGTGTTGATGGTGATAGCATTTACGTTACGTGAATATTCATCGTTGAATTTGGTTGTCGCCAAAGAAAAATCGTTCGATCAGAGCCGAGAGTGCGTGTGTGTGTGTGAGCAATTTCGCTCTTTCGCTTCTTCATTCTTAAGGTAAAGTAAACGTTTCCTTGGCAATGTATCACCTTGAATCGCCCCTAATCTCTATGTAAACATATCAAAATGGCAAGTAATGTAAAAGCAGCTTTCTTTTCTGACTCCCCTCTCGTATATTATATTTATATAAATTCAGTCTTGCGACTGTTTTTTGTTCGTCAGCCAAATGAATAGTAAGAAATCCATGAAATGTATTGAAAGAAGAGAGAGAGAGAGAGAGAGAGAGAGAGAGAGGGGGGGGAGCGGACGAGCGAATGTATTCGTGGGATGTTGTAGGAGTTTTCGTATTGTTGAGACAAATGTATTTTCAACCATGATAATTTTCCAGGGTGAACAATAATAAATATCTTGTGCGTGTGCCAATGCCTGCTAGCAACGAACGAGTGCGCCGTGGTAGTCATAACTGTAAACAGTATACACTGTGACCGATATAGGAGTTCGTGTGCTATTTTTAGTTCAACTTCTTACTATATGCGGCGCTGGAGTCAAGTGTCAAAAAATTATTCGTCCAGCTAACAGGCATTGTCGTGTGCACGGCATCAGTGGCGGTCCCATTTGAAATGCAGAGACACGGTGAAAAGCGCTCGTTTCATTTGGCGCGCGTATTCAATGCAAAACCGAATTAAATCATGTCCAAAACAGAAATCTATACAAGGGAAGGGAAAAATCAACAACAGCAACAAGACTCGTGTAGAAAAATATACACTCCCATAAGCACAATCGAAAGGAATTTTGAAATTTCAGTAGAATTTTATTTATACTGTGTTTATTACTTTAGTTGCTATCGCCTGTATTGGTGTCTTGTATGAATGTTTACTGGCCAGTAAACGGACACAAGACCGATTTGAAGTAGTGTGTTGATGGTTTGCGATGAATCGAACCAAACCGAGCCAAACCGAACTGCGTTTTAATGAAGCTCCGAATCAAAATCAAACACATATACGGGCGACCAATACATGACCATCCCATTATCTTATCTACATATTGCAAATAGAATACAAAGTAACAAACGACGAAGTAAAAATGCGGAGAATAAACTGTCCACAATCCATAGTGAAGGGAATTGAAAATAAAAGCACAAAATGTGATTTGCCATTTCGACCCGATCAAGAACGACACGAGCACTTTTTTGCCGAATGAATGGATCGCATTCACACTGATACCCGTGCGCTGAGAAAATGTGGCGATGCAATAATCAGAAATGAAACAAGTGTTGCATAATTGAAATGGCAGCCTCACAATTTATACTATTATCTAGCATTGAGATCAAGACGTAATCGATTGATCATACTCATTAGCGGCGAATAGCGGCAATCATCTCTTCGTTTACAACCAGAAAATAGCACGGTGCCGAAAAATGTGCGCAATAAATAATGAAAGTGCGATTGAAATGTGAACACAAGCTCTAGCCATGGAAAATTCGATTTTGTCGCTACTACGACTCCAAATGGCATCGCCAAACTGAGCGTAAGAACGTAGCGCCATCGTTTTGAATTTGGTTTACATTCTCGAAAAAATTCAAATTCAAGTTATTTTCGGGTATCTTATTTTCTGTTCGACCGATTTCTGTACACAGTGCTATTGAATCAGGTCAAAATAGTAGCATAAACAAATTAGACGCCAGCCATAAGGAATGTATTTAAT